TATATGTTGGTATATATATATATTTACACATATATATCTGTAATCTAGCAGGTAAATTTATTTTGAAAAATCTAACAAGCTACAATTCATTTTTCGCATCTATACATTATGGTCGTTATAATTCACATAGATTTAGAAAGATTAATAATTCATATTCTGAATCCGCGCCTTTCGTTCTAACTCGATAATTTATTTTTATAATTTTGAGAAATTTATTACTTTTAAAGACTTCCTCTTTAAGATCGGCGATATCCCTCGAGCGCTCACGTGTCGCGAACTGCCAAACTTCATCGAGCCTGTAAATTTGCGAGCACTGCCAGCGGGACATATGGAATAGGACAAGTGTGAAAAAAGTCAAATATACAATGGGTCCTGCTCACCGCGTTTTTAAACCGATCCGATTTTCACCGAGACAGTGCCATACGAGGTCTCGTGAGAAACCACCATGTGTTTTTCGTGATCGACAATTTCGGGCTGAGACACGATGAGATATAAAAGCAAGATTTGAGAAGCGAAGGATATTATATATAATATAATTGATACATCTTAAAACACCATGAGATACGATGTAAATGACAGAACAATCCAAAGAAATCTCTTAAACGTCCGAAAAATGTTTGAAAGCACTTAGACGATGCCTTGTAAGTATCTCTTTACGACGTACTTTAAACATCTATACATTATTTGAGAATTAACTGCATTTTTATATTTACATCTTGCTTCTTATATCTTTGTCTTATATTTTCTCGCATCTCATTCAATCATATTCATCGCCTATTTTTATTCTTTCGTGGCGCGATCGTTGTCCCGATCGTTACTTCTATCTTTTCACCTTGCCAATTTTCTGTCATAAGTTTTCTCTGCTCGTGTAAAACGAATTGTCGTTATTAGTCGAAATTAATATCGATCGAGTAAGGGACCAATTTTTTACGCAAGTGAAAACTTGTCCGCCATTTCTAGATGCATGCTATTTTCTATATCGAGATAAAAATAATATTTTTTTTTTAAAGACATGTTTAATTTCGATTAAAAAATACAATCAGTTATATCGTGTTAGATCGAGTTTCGAAACTATTTTCTTTACGCGCGAATCTTTAGATATAATTTATTAGAGAGAAAAAGAACTGAGCAGGGAGGTTCCATTAGTTGTTAAGTAAGTTGCATTTTCTTTTTATTTCTTGGTAATATTTCTCTCTTATAAGCGCAAAGGTGAGATGATAGGAAGGAACTTTCGGTTACTTGATCGCGCTTGATCTCACGAAATGGAAGAATCGCAACAAATCGTAAAGAGAGAGAGAGAGACACTTCGAAGGTCCTTCCAATTATAATTAATTATTTCTCGCAATGTGTAAAAGTATAACTTTGAGCTAATCGGCAATACAAAAGTCACGGAAAGGTACAAAAAAAAAACGGGATTAAGTTTCGCGGGATTAATTTTTCGACGAGCTTCGGTATGATAGCCCTTAGCGATCTTGTACGATAAGTTTATTCGAGAGTTGCGAATATATACGTTTATATAGGTCGCTTGTATTGTATAATTATACGATTGGCGAGTCTAATTCCGACATTAAGTATTCTCTTGTACGTTATTGTATTTTTTGTTTGTAATTAATCGTAATTAAGGTTTATACGCGTTGTTTTATTGCCAAGAAAAACGAACCGACTGCATTTAGTTGAAAGATTTTTTTTATCGGCACATGGCGGTCTCGTTCATCGCGATTTTGGCGTGCTTGAAAGTCTGCAGCGAACAAATTTCTTTCTGTGTAAACATGTGAAGGATATTAAAAGAAAATATATGTGATGTGTGTATGGCTCACATACGCGTAACTGTAACGTCTCGTGTATTTATCATCATTCTTCGTATCGGCCTGCTGATAATTCTAAATTATCGATATAGAACCTCTCTAAATAATAAGAATAATAATAATAATAATAACGCGAAAAAGAGACGGAAGGCTGAAAAAGAAATAAAAGAGAGAGACATATGAAAAAGCAACGTAAACGATTTGTATACATTTTTCTAGTGCACAAAGTCTGACCCGAAACGGAAATCATCCCGTTTCTATGATTTCTGGTGTTCTTTTTTTTATACATGTCCGTGCGTTTTTTGTAGAATTAAATCTTAATCCACGCGATGCGCAATGCACTAAATAATATGGACGTACGTTTAAGGGAGACGCTATAACGTGTTCGGTAAGATATAATTAAGTTTGTATTAGCGTTATATACATATAGAGAAAAGTGAAAGAAAATATAGCGAAGCGAAATACGTGGACACCCATTCCTTTTTTTCTTATCGCGATTTTGGAAAAAACTTTGCTGAACACACATACATATACATATGCACACGCTAAATAAATGTACGCCGATAGACTTACTTCTCCTTTTTGACGGTGCTTGCGAGAACGTGAGAGAGAGAAAAGAAAATCACTAGCCGTAATTAACAAAGTGGTGAACGCGAGAGAGGAAGAGAAAGAGAAAGAATGATATGAATATATGTAAGAATGCGAGAGATACAGGGAGAGATACGGGCAACGTATTTTTACAAAAATTAGAGAAAAACGTGCAGAGACGAAAGAAATATGAAAGAAATTTCACCTGTGAGATTCTCCTTAATCAATTTAATCGCAACTTTATCCTACATTTCGCCAATATAATCGTATTAGCGTCATATACAGAAAATACCTTTTTCCATAGAAAACAAGTAGTCTTATCTCTTTCTCCGATAAATCCACGCGAAGGTTTATAATATAATCGCATAAGTAGCTCGCGCGAAAATCAGCAAAAATTACAATCGGAAACGTTTCCACGAGATTGATTGTATCGTATCGTACAATAAATTCAAACTTTATTATACAATTTTATAAATACATTCTTGCTACAAAAACAAAAAAAAATACAAAATACACCGACCACGCAAAAATATTCGTAAATACATTGCGCAATTAATCAAAACTCGCATAAGAGCGAGAAAAAACTCCGCAACTTTTTGCGTGGAATTTAGAAACATCTTGGAAAGATCGAGAGAAAGAGAGCGGATATTTCTTTGAACACACATACAAATTTAAGGATCTCACAAGACGTTGACGAATGAAAGAACGAATAAGATTTACACGTTACAAATGTGCGAGGACTCGGTATCGGTACGACTTGCCAGTTTCGTCGATCCCGATCGTCGACGTGCGAGGATGTATCGATGTATCAATTGAAGTTACAAAGCTTGTAAATGTATAAACAAAAAAAAAAAGAAACCAGCTAAACCGATCGAAATGATCGCGTCGGATATTATTTTGAGCAAACGCGGCGGGAATATAATTTTCGACGGGTTTCTCTCCAGCCGAGTCTCCAACTCGGACTTGTAAATAATTGAATGTAACGACATACACAAAGACTCCCCCGAGATATGTGCATAAGTATAGCTTATTACAGATATAGTGTTTGCATTTATTATAAATTCTATGTAAAAGCGTGACGCGAGAAAGAGAGGGAGTCGAGCGATCGCGACGAGGGCCGCTTGTAAAATTCTCTTAGCAAAACATCGTGATGGTTCTGTTTGTATTGTCAGTATTACAAGTGTCTTTCTGTTCATTAGTTATTCCCAAAGAATTTCTATAAACTTCCGCATATTTCAATCATCATTATTCAAAAGCGCGTCAATTTTATTTAATTATATATTTTTAATTATTATTAATTATATATTTTTATTTTTTTCTAATAGCGTATGATGAAAAAAATACTAGAGATAATACCGATATAAAAATTTGTAGAGTTAAGCAAGCATATCCTTGTCATGTTTATTACGATGTACCAAACTTTTTGATAATTAATTAATATAATTATGGCCCCGCGAGATCGCTTCGGTTAGAAAAGTGCTTGTACATGTATAAAAGTAGAAAAATATATTGCATAGTTTAAACTAATATGATTTATAGCGTGTAGAGAGAGAGAAAGAATGAGAGACACAGAGAGAAACTCGACGAGTACGCGCGGGATGATGAAAAGCTGGTGAGTCGGCTCTTGTCGATCTAATTTCCAATTATCTCATGAGTCCTGTAAATTCTTGAAATGGTAGAAGGAAATGATTTTTTTCTCTCGCTACGTGGACGAAGCGGCGAGAATCGAGCGCGAATGATCGCGTGAGATATTCTCAGCCCGGAATCTATCCCGAAAACGATCTCAAGCGACTTCTCTCGCCACTTCGTCGAGATCGATATGCAGGCTTGCTTTTCTCATATCGCGACAAGACTCGATATCGCGTAGCGAGGAGGAAACGGAAGACGTGATAATTAGCACGGTTGTTTCGCACTGCCAAATAATAATAAAAGAAAAGACAACCACAAGCGTTCATTGTGTGGATCGACCGATCGTTCAAAGCACCGCCGGTGTTCATTATAATCCACATAGTGGTTCTACGAGGAAAAATAAAAGAAGATAAAGCCGAGTAATAGGAGCTAACAATAAGAGAGATGGAAGAGCGCGGGACGGAAATTTTTTTCCTAAGCCCGAGTGAAAATGAGAGGCGAATAAACGAGAGAGAGAGTCGAACAATGCTTCGTCTTTTTGGATACTTTCATGTACACAAACACGGATGACGGTTTATAGCTCAAGAACAGAACATTAAAGAGATAGATATTGTAAGAGAATAATAATAATTTCACGGTGACGATATCGTACTCGTGTTGTCTTTTCACTTTTTAATACCTTCTATTCTCTAGATATTTTGAAGAAAAGGAGTGCCAGATATCTGGATAAATCAGGTAATATTCATTTGCCATTATCTTTTTCGGATCCATAAAATTTATTTGCGTGATTTAATTATAAGGTGTAAGATAACTTATTTGCACGTTAATATTATGTAAGATTTTTGACGATTTAAATACCAGAGATAGAGAAATGAATTAGATCTCATTTAATAAATATTCTAAATTTCTGTAAAAAAAAAAAAAAAAAAAAATGAAAAGAAAAAAATAAGGATATATATGAAATTATATATATTCTAATGCATAGGAGTGAAGGTAAAAAGAGAGATTAAATTTCAGGCGCATTAGTTGAACATGATCGATTATTATTCATCGTCGAAACATTGCACGTACTTTTGCAATTTACAATACAATACCTATAATACAAAATACTAATAGTAATTGCCTCATAATAATATTAATGAGATAGTGATAACTAAAATATGAAGAATGGCGAAGGGGGTGAGATGGCGGAGGGAGGATAGATGGGCAACGGATTGAGATTAAACGTATAGAAGAATGGTTGAAAATAAAAAAAGAGTGGTTCCCAAAAGTTCAGTCGGTCGCGGTGTACAATCATCGAATCACGATTCTCGATGGTTCTCCTTAGCACCCTCGTCGAAGCGCAGTGTACAGGGTGTCTCGAGGGACGAATATACGTGTAACAATCCTTTATTTCTCCTCGCAAAATTAGCGCATTCGATTCTTCCTAATCGAAAACCGATTTTATCGGGAGATTTAATCGTCTAGCCAAACAGAAAATTTATAACAGATGGATAATTCGAATAAAATTATAAGCGAGGAAAAATCGCGATCGGGAAATTTACTATCTGAGGGAGTGGAAGGAAAAGAAATATACATCTTTTACGGTACACTCTGTATACGCGCCACGCTCTCCGCGAGGGGCGCGGATTAATCGGGAACGGAAATTTTCCCAGCACGCAAAGATCCTCGAAGGAATCAATTAATTCGATGGAAACGTTAGAAAACGCGAAATTTCAAAGTCGCGCGTTTTCTTTCTTTCCTTGAATTTTTCGCGGCCGATTAATCCTCGTTTACGCGGAGAACAGAGCCTGTATATATACATATACTATACATATATAAATACTTTACTGATAGATTTTAACAAGAGAGTTAGATATATCGGGCGACAATCTCGGGATTTCTCGCCGGAACGATATCGCGTCCTTGCATCGTGAGGACGCGATTGATCCCGAGTTCGCCGATCGATCGCACGGCACGGAGAAAAAACGAGGGGGTACGCTGAAGAAAGAAGGGAGAGAAAGGGGGTAAAAAATTGGAAGGAGCAACTATAGATTACAAAGTATGTCCTCTCACGCAAGAGACGTACGCAATGTTAACTCTCTTCTCTTTTTCCTTCGTATATATATAAATTTTGATATATTATATATTTATATATATAATATATAATATATAAGACTACTCTCTATATATATTACTTTTGGCAGGAATGTCGTAATTATATAATAATATCTCAGCCGTGAACCGTGCATCTCGCGCGCATCCGGCGCACGGCAAAGAAAAATAAAGCCTCGCCTCTCGATCGATCTTCTCCATTGATCTTTGCTGTGTCGTGCTAACTGCGTCGTGATACACACACGTGTATTGCTTTTTTTACCGCAATCTACGAGTAATTTATAATCTCGCTACAGCATATATCCAGTGAATGTTTCCAGTCGTTGGATTTTTCTTGAATATTTTAACAGTTTATGGAAGTTATTAATTTAAATAAATATTTTTAGCGATTTATTAAAAAACATGATCTTTCAATAAATCGTATAAAATGTAGACACGGATCACTATCATTTATTTAAATAAAGGTTTGAAAAATAAGTATGTGAGATAAATGATGCACGAACAGTTAAATAGATTTATGTAATTCTTCTATTTTTTAATTTTGTTCCGATGTCTTTCTCTTGCATTTTTTTATATAAATCGTTTATAATTTTCATATGAAACATATCTTCTACGCATAGCGGTGCGATATCAATAAAAGTACTCAGATATTCAAATCGCGAAATATTCAAAAAATATCCAAAATATATTCGATATTTATGCTATGCCGGGTCCTTGCATTTGTATTAAAAGACGACGAAATCAAATATTATCCGAGAAATATTTGAAACTATACGATTGAACTCGGTTTTTTCCAAAAACCACGCGGCGACTCACGCGCGCTCGCACGAAATTCAAGTTTCCTTTTCTCTCGTTTTCTCAGAGTTTGCGAAGGCGCATATAGAAATGACCATCCAGGGGGAAAAGAGGGGGAAGGAAGAAAAAGATGTTCGATCGCTTATAGATTTAACATAGTGAAAATGCGATGAAACGTAATGTGATGATCGCTTGTAATTATAGAGATACTCGAGGATACACAACGCGTGTTACTCAATATATAATATTATATATACAATATGCACTGTCGCTCCGAGAGCCGCGAGATCTTACTAACTCGCGACGAGTCGCGGTTGCACCTGCGAATAGTGTTGCGAGTCGACGTAACGCGTATGTACATCAGGAGGTCAATTAACTCGCAAGCGGAGGATTTCGATTCACGAACTTGCGCGAGAGTTCGATTCGAGCCGCCGAGTAAAATTGTGGAATTCCGCCAGTTTTCCACCCACGATCGCAATCCTCGAACTCAGTCGACAAGAACGGATGATTAAAAAAAAAAACAAACGTCTCCTGGCTCAAGGGAAGCTTCTGACACGAATGGAAGGAGTATGGGGTTTTACTTTACACAGGCTGGAGTAGTGATGGTGCGATAGTATAACGAATATAGTGCTGCGCATCTCTGCGCGTGACGCGACTACATTTTATCGACAGGTCGTTAGTGGAACGCCATAGTCGCCGTATGATTACAATATAACGATGCTAATATATAATAATATTAATAATATAATAATAATACTCTAATATTAATAATAATAATAACATTTGCAGTTACAAACTAGTAAGAATCTCTAATGACTTCGCGAGTAGAGCTTTGTGATTAGGCGTTTGAGCAGTGTCTTAGACATGAGAGAAAATGCTAGTCAAAACTAAAAAAAAACCGCGTGTGTTCGATATTAACAAGTAATCAATTATATGATTTACGCATTACATCATATCGATCCATCATGGGCCATTTCATTCTTCGCCGGTGGATCAAGAATGAGCGAGACTGTCGCGATATACTTTTGCTTAAAATTGGTTCAAGAGCGATTCGCAAAAAACTTGGCTTGACCTATAATCCTTATTATCCGCATTCGGAGAGACAAAGTGTATTGTGTGTAAAAGTATTAAAACATACCTCGTAGTTCGATAGAAACATGAAAAACAAATCGATATGCATCGCACATTCACGCGTCTCGACTCATGCACGCATACACGAATCTCTCTTCTTTTCTTTTTCTGACTTGGTCGTTCTTTTCTTTTCTTTTCTTCTTCAATGTGCGAATTTTCGCTTTCTCCTGTCCTTTCCTCTCTCTCTTTCTCTCTTCACAGACAGGACAGTGTTAAACGATTATGATCGTGTGTGACGAACCAATCCTCCATTGCAGTGCAATCGGACGTACGCTTACACTCGTAAATTTACTTGGTAAAAATGCGCTCGCAATTATCTCTTCACGTTATATACTACGACTCCTAGACGCTCGATTAGAATACGAATTTACTATTGGCAAAAAGTCGTCCAAGCCGACCACGCTTTATATACGACAGCACGCCCGCGCGGACTGTCGATCGCTTTTCAGCGATATAGTTCAAATTTAATATGCTCGTCGCGCGGCGATTACACTACCGAAAAGGCAGAAAAACCTCTAAATATATTGACTTTGAAATCGCGATCTACCAATTACGTGTTGCAAACTCTCTTCTGTTCGCGCAGCAAAGATATACGCGATCAAGACATCCGTGTTATAATTTACGGCGGATTCTTTTTTTACGGCAATGCCCTTCCGCCCGACGCCTTCACCTGGTTTCCGGCAACCTTGGGAATCGCGCCGATTATCTTAACACGATTCTGTGAAGTTGTCTGCTGCTCGCAATTATCTCTTCACGTTATATACTACGACTCCTAGACGCTCGATTAGAATACGAATTTACTATTGGCAAAAAGTCGTCCAAGCCGACCACGCTTTATATACGACAGCACGCCCGCGCGGACTGTCGATCGCTTTTCAGCGATATAGTTCAAATTTAATATGCTCGTCGCGCGGCGATTACACTACCGAAAAGGCAGAAAAACCTCTAAATATATTGACTTTGAAATCGCGATCTACCAATTACGTGTTGCAAACTCTCTTCTGTTCGCGCAGCAAAGATATACGCGATCAAGACATCCGTGTTATAATTTACGGCGGATTCTTTTTTTACGGCAATGCCCTTCCGCCCGACGCCTTCACCTGGTTTCCGGCAACCTTGGGAATCGCGCCGATTATCTTAACACGATTCTGTGAAGTTGTCTGCTGCTGCTGCTGCTGCTGCTGTTGATGTTTGTTATCGCAGAATTGCGGTGGTGGTGCAAACACCACTACTTCTTGATCCTGGCCGCCGGCGGACGGGCCTGCGTTGAATTCCGGCGGCGGCGGCACAAACAGATCATTATTCTGCTCCTCGGCGTCCGCCTCGATCGGCGGCGGCAGCTGCGCCAGGCTGACCGCGTGCCTAGTCAGCAAACCGCTGCCCCCGTAACCCGGTCGTTTGATCTGATTGTTCTCCTTGTCAATCGGGTTGACACCGGAAGTTAGCAGAGCCGCACCTCCCGAATGCTGATTGCTCTCCTGATTGGCCAGATTCCGCACAGCGGTGTCGTCGAAGCCCATCGGCGGGCCCACTGGCACATCCTGATCCGAGCTAACGCCACTCGAGCTGTTGTCACCGTCCTCGACGAGCGACTGCTGCGTCTGTAGCAGAAAGTCGTTTGGATGACTCTTGGACGACTTGAGTTGCGTGCGCACCTTTTGGATCTCCTCGACGCTGAACGAGTGCGGCAGCGAGCCGCTTCCCGACGAGCTCGAACCGGACGTGTTGGAGTTGCCGGATGTTTCTCGTGTCGCCTCCAGCTTTTCCCGCGCCGCCGCTTTCTCAAGTTCCTTCGCAATCTCTGACTCACCATCCTCATCCGTCTCGTCGTCCTCGCCTTCGTCGTCATCATTCTCCGACTCTGACAGGCTGTAATCTGGCTCAGGAATTGGCGGCGCCGAATTAGGCGGCACAGTCGTTCCATTCGCGCCGGACGCGATTGACGAAAGATTCGTAACGGACGAGCTGGCGTTCAAGACAATGGTTTTCTTTTTCCGCTCGCGGATACCGGCCGTGCTGTGACTCCTGGTAGTCTTCAGCGGTTGCGCGTACTGATTGTTACCGTTCCCGTTGCTGTTCATGTTGCCGACATTGTTGTTCAGCGCCTGTTGGCTGCCGGTTGGCTTGAACATCGTGTTGTTTGGCGGATTGCGCAGACTGTGAGATTTCCTGAGATGCGGGCGGTTAGCCGGTAGACTACGTGAACGGTAACCGACGGTCTTCATGTCCTCCGGCGAGGCATATAGCTTCGCACTGTTAGATGGTCGGAAACTCGACATCACTCCATAACCACCTTCGACCGTGGCCGCCGCGAGTTCTGCAAAAACAAATGAGGATTATGATTCAATTACTTTAATATAGAGAAGCGAAATGGCGGGAAACCTCGTTTATTACCTTTGACTTGCTGGATGTGCGCCATGTTGTCGTAAACCGAGGCTGGAGTGACGACATCCGGCACGTTGGCGCCGACATTCATCTTGATGACTTGTCCGACTGGCGGAGGTGGCGGCGGATGATTCGGCGGTGGAAGCCCGTTTCTACCGTTCAAGGCATTCACGTCTTCTTGGCTTCTATGGCACTTGGGCGCCAGAAGGGACGAGGACTGCGCCTGTACGTTAAGATCCGGTGTGCTGTGGAAGTCTCTGTGAAGATCGGAACCTCCGCCCAAGCCGCCAAAGAAGCGCACTTTTGATTGCGACTGTAAATGTAAGGACAAGTGGTTCGTACAGGCTGCAACTCGCGAACAGTTGGCGTCGTCGCCTTGATAATTCGCAAAATTCGGAGCGTAATTTTTTTTCATTAAGGAATTGCAATTTACAACTGGATCGGTGAAAGGACAAAGGATAGAGTAAAACACAGAAAGGCACAGAAAGGAATATTGGAGAAATATGATACAAGAACGAAGCATACTCCTGCTAAGCGTGAACTCCAAACTACCGTAACTACCGCTAACCCACTACTACCATTACCATTGCTTGCTTGCGAAAGATTATCTAAGTGTTAATGCTGTCGTATGCTGCGAAGAATGTACACGTAATAAGATAATGACGTATCGTCAGTCTTCCATGCTTACAGAACGAATCCCGAAGAGCGACTTAAGGAACTGAAGGAAATCGCAAAAACTTGGTTAAAATGCAAATGCGCAACTGGTTAATCATACTTGAGGCGTGAACACGAAGCACGTAGGTGGCACCTAACGCCCTCGCGGACGTCAGATTTCTGTTTCATTTAGCAAATGGCTTAGTCACCTGAAATCATGCAAGCCACGGACGAGCTAGAAACAAAGTATTTTGGATCAGTAATATAAGTAGTGGTCCTCGTCGTCTCGTCCGCACCAGGACCGTCCCTTGCTGTGCGTTCGCACCGGCTTGCGCGCAAACTATAACATACATGCAAAAGAAAAGAACCACCATTACCATTGCCCAGAGAGAAGAGAGGAGGATTCACCGAACGCCAGACGACTCTTTCGAACGCTGGTAGACATTTTTTTAAAGGGATGTGTCCTTAACCGCCAGATATTAATAAATTACTATTCGATGTGGGTACCATACGAGAAAAACGAGCAGAAAAAAGAGAAATGTCTATTTAGAGATTAGGGAATGATTAAAAGTAGCTATCTAAAGGGACATCGGAGAGTTCGATCAAGCTACTGGATGAGATGAACAAACATATTAACGTCCATTTCTAGGGCAGCTTTCATTAAGGGGGCTTAATTTCAACTTATATAAGGAAAACGTTAAAAAGAGAAACGCGAGCGCTCTTTGTAACTTTGAGAGTGTGGCGAGTCATCCTTACTTTGCCCTTGCGCTTCATCTCCGCTACGCTCGCGTACACCCTGCCGGTCTTAGCAGGCGACGACGGATGCGACTTGGTTGACTGACCAGTAGTCTGAAAGTGAGACGAGCTCATCATGGACGAGCTGTACTGACCACCGGCGCTACCCTGCTGCCGCTGAAATAGTTCCTGCAAGAGAAATTAAAGGACGAAGCTGAAGCCTCGGTTTCATCTCGTGCACAAAATGCCATTCAATTCGGAGACAACGAGCGCACGGATAGATTCAGTGTGATCGAGCAAGAGACAGAGAGAGAGAGAGGGAGCACGTTGCGGTGCACGTACAGCCCGCAAATTGGGGCGAGAGATAATTACTTCGAGTTCCGCAGCGGTAATCCTGCTGGATGTTGGACGCGATCGGATGCTGGCCGTTCTCGGTTGCACCGGAGTGTTCTGACCGGTGTTCGATCCGGTCGAGGGCTGCTGCGGCATATGAATCGATTCCGCGCTGCTCGATTTTGCACCAGTCGACGCGATTTCATCGCGATCATCTCTTTCGCCGCCTCCTTCTGCAAGAGAAACATGACAAATGTGTAGCATCGTGGATGTTTATTCTTATGTACGTAATCTCGCAAAAACGGAATTTAATTTATATCTGATTTATTACCTAATCCTGCGACCATCGATCGCGCCCTCGCCCGGCCCACGCTTAGTGTCGTCTTCGGGTCTCTCCGTGGTGGTACGGGAGCCGGAGATCTGCCGAGCGTACCACCGATCACTACGTTGTTGTTACCCTTACGCGGTAAAGTCGCATATTGTCTCTGGATAGGTTGACTAGTTGGCAACGCGGCCGCAGATTGAGAATTCGGAAGACTAATCACCGGCGAAATCACTGTCATTCGCACCAACTCTCCCGATTTCCTGATCAGGTCGACTACGTGTTCGTGGGAGGCCGTCGTCACGTCCTCGCCGTTAATCTGAAATATTCGTGAAAGAATGATTTCGCGATTTAAACAATATAAAATGTTATTACATATAAAATTATTAGACTAAATGAATATCCGCGGATAATCTTACTTGAATAAGAAAATCTCCTTTTCGGAGACCCGCTAAATCGGCTACACCTCCTTGATCGACATCGTCCAGATACTGTAGCGCCGGATACCTGGCAGACGGCGTTAGCTCCATTAGCGGCGAAGTGGCCTTGGCACCGCGCAACACGAACCCGAAGCCTTTCCTCGAACGATGAAGAACAACAGTGCGGGGTTCCGACGTGACGCTGGGAATACAAAGATACAATTGGATCTCGTATTAACGGTAGGATAAGAATATTATCGAACGTTGAACTTACGGCTTCTTTAATCTAGGCGCGGTAGCAAAGTATTTATGCTGCGACTCCCTGCGGCCTAGAACCCGATTTCGTCCGTCCCTGGCGGGCTGCGGGCCCAGAGGTATATTCGTATGACGCAGCCTGACTTCCTGAACGCAATGCGCGGGGAAGAGACCGGTACCTTGTCCACGTAGGACCCCTTCCAGAAGGCCGCAATCGGTGGCACCGGTGACTGTTAAAAATAAAGAAACAAAAACACGCTTGCTATCAGAATAATATTTCTGGACATTACCTACAAAACAGAAATCGAGAGAGACAGAGTGAGACAGTCGTCATCCCATATCACGGAACACGAGAATAATTACGGGAAACACATGGAAAATCACGAAACATCGCTCATCGCTGTCAAATCAAAGTCAACGAAGCTAGATGAGAAAGAAAGAGAGAGAGAGAGAGAGAGAGGAGTACGTTTGTTGGATTGCCTGATGGTGTACCTTCAAGGATGTCTCCTTGATTGATAGTCAGATGGCCAGTGATCCCGCTGTTGTAGCTCTCCACGCAGACAACCGTCGTACCGGGAATGGATAATGAATTGGTCGTGTCGGACTGCGAGGTTCCTACCCCGGAACTGTCGCTGATCACGTCGGACGCCGTGTCGCCGAGGCTCTTGTCTAGAAATCGACAACGGTCGGATATACTCAGCGTGATACCTCATGTTTGATCCGCATCGCCTTACCGAGCGATAAACGCCATGCAAGAGATCGAAACCTCTTAAGAAAGACAGAGAGAGAAAGAGAGAGAAAGGAAGAATAGCTAACTCTTAACGCTAAATCAAAACTTCAGCGCACTTGACCTTAAAAAAAAAAAAAATTAATTAATTAACTCAATTTGATTCGCCTAAAATGTGCTCTACGACGGCAATAAGAGCTCTAAACATTGCCAGCCGCATTGCATTTGTCGCATCTTAAGAGGCGGCCTCTAATGAATGTTAAGCGCAGCATGTCTCTCTTCTCAAGCGAGAAGACCTCGCCCAACTCGCTCGCGAGGAGGAGTCACTAAACTCAGGATCTCTAATATCCTCGGGGACATCAAAACGGAAGCATGCACGAACCATCAAAGCCAACGTCTGACTAACTCTCATCGTGTCGTTCGACCATCTTTGCGCACCGCCGGTTTTTGGTGGTGATGGTACTACATATAAACATGATGATGTTGTATTTAATAATTGTTTAATTTCTGTCGCTTTACGCGCGACAAACTTTCGCGCAGAGGACTTGTCCGCTTCCTCGTACCTTCGGGGATAGTTGATTTCCTTTTGGAGTGTCCAGAGTATCTACGCGTATTTGTGTTGATTTCCGCAGTTTGTGTGAATCATCGAGGAGCAAATTTTCCATCATCGAACAGTGGGGAGAATCGAAAGGAATAGAAAGAGAAAAGAATTAGTGTACCTGTGACGATGCTGGCCGAATCCTCGCCGGACGGTTGATTGCTGCCTTCAGATAAGCTCGAACTGGCCGAGCTGAAAGGTGCTAAGCTCCTGCTGCTAGGCGACGGCGACGGCGGCATCTCCATCTGTGTTCTGTGCATATCGAGGCGATGTTGTAGCTCGAGCCGATGCTCTTGCAGCCTCGTCAGACCCTCCATTCTCAAGTTCGTATAATTCTCCGCGGCACTCGGCAATCTTGAAACGGTGCGTACAACTCTTAGGATACATCGGCGATCGGTGCTTCGCGCTGACCAAAACGCTAACCAAGACACGTGTGTGGCACGTGTATCCTTCTTTAGTTAGCCAGCACATGTGATGGTCAGGTTCTGATCAGGGTGAAGCATCGGCGACCGCGAACGTACCGCACGAACTGTCATCGTTTGTGATGACATATAACTCGAGGCGTCGTTTCATTTTTAAAAATTTTGTCACGCTTATCCAGTGATCGGCGGCGTACGCGCGACTCTTCATTTAATGCTTACCTCGCGTTAGGATCTCTCAAAGAATTTGGACTCTGGTACTCCGACGTTAATCGGTGGCCGTTCTGTTCGGACGGTATTCGGTTCGGTAAGTCGTTTCTGCTCGACTCTACGGACGGTACTCTGCCGAGGCTCCCGTGGTGGACCGACTCGGTTGACTGACCGATGATCGCGATTCCACCGGTGGAGGGATACTGTTCCGTGGACGGTACTCTGCTCATGCTCGCCGCGACAGTCGGGTACTGCTCCGTGGACGGTACTCTGGTCAGCGTACTAACAGTCGGGTACTGCTCGGAGGACGGTACTCTGATCAAAGTGGCGTCGTATCGTTCGCCGGACGAGGCTCTGCTCAAGACGATGCCGGACGGCGCGTATTTTTCCTCGGACGCGACCCGGACGAGTGTGCCGGACGACGGTGGAGGCGGAGAGTACGGTTGCTCCGTGGACGGTACTCGATTCAGGCTCGCGGCGGTAGCGTACTGCTCGGCGGAGGGTACTCGCGTGATACTAGAGTACTGTTCCACAGAGATGGTTCTGGTGAGTGTACCACTAGAGGTACCACCACCGGCGCTAGACGCCGCCGCCGCGTGTTGTTCGGTGGACGGTATCCTGGTGAGGGTTCCCAGATTACTTGCTGAACAGCTCGTCGTCATCATCGTGGAAGTGCCACCGAAGGCCACCGAGCGCCGCTTCGGGTTGTAACGTGGCGGCCCTTTAAACGGTACTGGAAAATCGCAAGGGTTGCAAGGTTAAGTAAAGAAAGGATTACTTAGCCTTACAAGAGAGAAAGAGAAAGAGAGAGATAAAGAGAGAGAAAGAGAGAGAGAAAGAGAGTATTCGTCGTCTTCTCCGACGAGCGTCGACGCGGCTCTTCAAGGGCGAAACGTAAAATTATGTCGGATGGCTCGTTAAAATCGAATGAAATGCAATAGTGTGTGATCGCAAATTATGCTGAACCCTAAACAGTGTCATTTTAAAGACATTATTATACAAAATATTTTAACGTAATAATAATTTAATGTATTAATTTAATCAAATTTTTTTCATTTCAGTAAAAAAAAAAAATTAGTATAATTTATTAAATTCTCATTTTAAAATCTAATAATCCTGCAAAAAAAAAATCACATCGATTACCGCTTGTACTGTCTAGGGTTAAAAATGATTACACATGTAAGTGCCGCGTAGTACAACACGGAGACAATGTTTTCGTGACCGAAACAGATACCGAACAAATCACTTAATCTGCGTTGAACGTGTTAAGTATCGCGACGACCTTTTTATACGGTCGTCATTATCCGCGTTTTATCGAAGGCGCGGGTGTGTTAGTCGCGTAGTTACACATCGTGTACATTATGTTCGCTGAAGCGAAGAGTTTTACGTTCGGGCTCTCTCTCGGAGCTCCATTCTCCACGATCGATCTTCCGGTGTCACGAAAGATCGTTGTGCGGGATTTTTGCAAAGCGGATTTACAAGCGGTCGCTGTGAAGCACACAAGCACGCACGCACGCACGCACGCACGCAGCTACGCGCGCGCGCACAATGTTACTTCACGATGATGATTATTGGCTCTCTCCCCGGGTAACCCCGAACAACCAGGTATTGCTCTCGTCGTTTTATCGTGCCGATATGTACAGGTCGTCTCAGAATCGACGGAAAGCGGGCGTACGTTATCCGTTGAAGTTGAAAATAAATATTGAAAATCACTATTTAATCATCATCATTATTTAATTCTTTAATTAAAGGTTTAATTCAAGATGAAAATTTTGTTCGAAAAGAATTCTAATTTTCATAATTAAATCGCCAAAAATGTCAAATGTATATTCGAGATTTGAAAGATTGCTGAGGAAAAACGGATTCGAATTTTTCACCGGAAACAACGCGTTACGTGTGCACTTTCGCCAATTCCGGGACATTCTGTACAGACGGGAAAGCGGTAGAAAGCCACACACGCAAGGATAACGACTTCATCCTCGTTCCGTTGTATCCGTTTTGTGCGATACAATGTGCTCGAGATTATACGAGTAAATCTCGTCGGAATACGTCATGTGCACAAACGATCGACGTCGCCGTCACCAGATCGTCGGAATGCGTTTCTTCAAATTCTCTTTCAAGCTCCACAGACTCCGACGATCCGTGAGACCACGTGGATTCACAACGTATCTCGAACTACCAAACATTTTACTAGTCAAGACATTCTTGCACAAATTCAATGCTGCCAGAAAATAAATATCAATATCGCGTGAAAATATATTTTTAATTTATTAATGATACAATAGGAACTCTTCTGTCAAAAAGTCAATTTATTTTTAACGCAAAGTTATAAATAAAAAGAAGATACAAAAATCGGAAAGATAAGTCAATATATAATTCTTGTCAATATATAATGTTTTAAAATTAGAATTTCATTTTTATTGCATAGAATTTTTAAGTTTGGAATTTATTTACTCGAGAATTGATACCGATCGATGCATTTTGTGACGCGAATCCGGCAGCATTGATCCATTCGACAGTGAACCAAAGATACAGTACCATTAGTTACTGGAAAGCACAATCTATCAAGAGGTAGTGTCGTTACTTCTCCTCGGTATCACAAATGTACTCGACGTCATATACACGACCATCACCACCAAAAATTCCCATGACATGATTGTAAAAATTTTACGTTACTCGTCACACAGCACAGACACAGGTAAATAGATAAGTACATTAACATACGTACGTCACACTCACAACGCGTCTCGTGTTATATATACACAATTCCAGAGAGGCACCCTCTATACAAGTAACTACGTACCAGAGAAGAGCTACCTATCCAACGTCTACTTCTATATTAGATACGAGAAGAACAGCGTGCAACATGCTCATGCCATGCTCAGCTCTACAATCATGCAATATAAAATGCCTACATCGTATTTTCTAAGCCACGATCACGTTCGTTATCAGAGATAAGCACTGTTAACTTTGTTACGTCACACACCATTGTGGCCATGTGCGACTTTTTTATTTTAACAAACAATACCGAGTGAGATATCGTAGTGAGATATTAAAGTCGTAAATGGGACGATATCGCCGATAATCCGATAAGCGGCGACTACTAGAAGCTTCCGACGAGTTATTTCAATTTTTATTTCACGATTTTTATATTAGAAATTATATGAGAAAGATCGCGAAGACTTTGTCGCTAAATCTCGACGCCTTTCTGCCTGATTAGCAATTTTTAACTTAGTTAATAAATATTATAATATACAGCAGACACGGTCGTAAACAGGGGATTAGAATCGGACAGTCATGTTGATCAGCCGTCGCGGGTGTGGCAAATGAATATGGAGAAACCTCGACGAGAGTAATGAGATTACCCGTCTTCCGAGCCCGTTCGTCCCATTCGTGATCCCGGAAGGACCGATCCTGCCGGCGCCGCGTTATCATCGTTCCGCGAGCAAGGGTCGCCGAGAGCGACGGAACAATGTCCGGAGAGAGAAGCAAGAACGCAGAAAGGGGGACGTAAGGGGGAGAAGAACGAGAGGAAGAAGATCGTCAACGTCTGTCGTTTATTCTTGCAGCATCATGCCTCGACCTCTCCAAGCGAGTTTCCTGCGCCCGGATCCTCGCGCCCCCGCGTTTCTCGCGTTTTCTCCTCCCCCCTTCCCCCCTTCCTCATCGCGAGAGTCCGCCAAGCTTTACGATTTTTGACATTTCGTGCGACGTTCATAACTCACCGACTTCCTCCGGCTGATAGTTCTTGATGACTTCGGCGAGCTCCATGTTGCCGGCGATCACGGCGACTTGGTACGGCGTTTGGTTCGCATAGTTGAGCGCGTCCTTCTGCGCGCCCCTGAAGAGTAGCTGACGTATGCACGAGGCGTCCGTGTTATTCACCGCGCACACGTGCAACGGCGTGTTACCGGACGCGTTGCGCGCATTCATGTCAGCGCCGTAGAAAAGCAGGTGGTCCAGATGCTGTACGAGATTGTTGCGACACGCCTGCGGGCATACGACGCGAGTAGGCGGGTATTAGCCGCGGAAATCATTCAACGTATCGTTCAATTGCATTCTTCTCAATTAATCCAAGCGTTGATTCGAATATTTTTCTACGCGAGAATTCGTGAACAAAATTTTGCATTACAAAGAAGTAATAAGTTGTAAAAAGAAAATATTAAGAATTGTGATTAATAACGAAATTTAAAAAATATACTGGTTATTTTTAACCTTTATTAAAAGATAATAAAGAAATAAAAACCAAATCTTTTCTCATCAAGATTCATGATTCGCAAGAAATGACTTTTTTTATATTCTTCCGCTAATCCTTTATAAAAAAAAAAAAAAAAAAAAAAAAAAAATAAAAAAAAAAAAAAAAAAAAAAAACAAGTACCTGATGAACTTCCTGCCAGCCCTGGAGATCCTGCGCTCCTATTGTCGCGTGGTCGTGAAGCAACGTCTCGCAAAGCATCGGATCGGTCTTGTGAATGACGCTATAGTAAAGCGGCGTCAGGCCCTTCGTATCTTTGTAGTTCGGGCTGGCGCCCAATTCCAGCAGCGTTTTCACCGCCTCCAGACTGTTTCGTTCAACGGCACGGTGCATCGCCGTTAGACCCTCTTTCGTTCGATAGTCCAGTAAAGCGCCACCATTGACTAACGCAATTATAACTTTCGACGGTTTTTTCAAAGTGGTTGCCAATGTCAACGGCGTCTCTGAAATTAAGAATTAAAAAAAAACTCACATTTTTCTTTTATTTTCGCAGTCGCGAAAACAAAAAATATTCCTCTTTTGTAATTTTAAATTATTTTTATATAGTTGAAAATATGCAATCGTAAAATGTCACTAATCCCCGCAATAGGATGATTACATAAATTTATTTTATGATGATTTTTTTTTTTAAATATTTTAGAATGTGTTGGTAGTTGATGAAAATCACGCTGTACGACTACGAGTTGTTTTAGCAATTTTCATGCAATTGCGCACGCGAATTACCTCCCGTTTCCTGACAGTGGAAATTAGGATCCAGCCCTTTGCTGCACATCTTCGCGATCTTCTCGACCTGACTGCTCTGCACATAATCCAGTAACCTCCGCAAATTCGTCCTGGTATGCATAGCCTTGAGCTGTTTCTCATCCAAATGCAGCATCTTGTACACCCGCCTCTTATATTTGAGCTGGAATTTATTTGAGAATAATGACACTTATACTATCGAGACGCGGCGTTTCAGCGACTATTATTACGGAACGGCTATTTTAATGGCGCTTCGCTTTCCATCATGTAAAAGCGTAAAATTCATCTCCCGGCAAGCTAATTATTTCCATATTACACGGTGATATAGCAGCTTAAATATATAAAATCATAAATTATATTGCAAAGTAAGATATATCCAGAGATATTTAACTCTGACTCTGATCGTCGCGTGCAATTTGTCGCGGTATAGATTTGCAGTAGCTCCGTACAATACTTATGCAAATATATCGCGAGAGAGAGCGCCGAGCGTGGCTATCGTTATCGTTAAGTATATCTCATCGGCGGGTATCGTCTCACCCGGACGGCCATATAATTGCCGTTTCTTATAATCTACTGCACACGAATACGTTCGTCACGCGTATTTCTCCGTTATCGATGAATACGCAATAAACCGGACGTGACATAAGATGCGTAAAGTACTGAAAGAGGCTCCGCCTTCAGGAAATTGAACCCGACTACCCTCCTCTTTTTCTCCTATCGAAAATTCAATCTGTAGCCGTCTCATCTTCCCCTATCTTTCTTACATTATATATCTTCTCTAGATTGTAATAAAATTTTTATTAGACAAAAGCTATATCCGGAAATTAATAATGAAGCACGGTTCTCTCGTCATTTATTCGCATTTCTGGCGCTTAATTTCTCCGAGATTCTCTCTCCTCTGTGAAATATATAAATGTAAATTTATATGTAGCATTTAATTTATATACAAGTTACACTAAAAACCTCATTTTCATCTTTTATTAACCGCGCGAACGCTTTCGCCAGAATTGCACTGTAAAAAAGGTGTCGCGTAAAGAATTACCGTCCCGTCGCGCGATTTCTTTTCGAGATGACCGCGTGGCCGCATTACAAGCAATAATAATAGCGCGATATAAAGACCACTATGCGCGGTAGCGCCTGATACGCAAGTGCATCGCGTTGCCATTATCATCGTGTATCAGATTAGGTTTTATCGTGTTGCGAACGCCAACTCAAAGGCTCGATCTAACGGTGTTGCTTATCTCATGATAGGGATGGGTATCGAGCGAATTTTGCGAGTGAAAAATGAAAATTGAGAAAGGCGAGGCTCCTCTCGCCACTATAAAATTTAATTTTATCACAAAGGTTCGTTTACCCTCTAGAGAGGAACGACAGAATGTCAATATATGTATATCGAGCGGATAAAAAAACAATTACAGGGAAGCTTCAACGTAAGTTTTTTTTTGCTTCTTTTATATCGAGAGCCGGCTAATTATATCTCTCCGCTGGATGAAAACGAGGAATTATACGTAACGATGATCTTGAATGGATCGCGCGAATACGGCGGGCTTGTTTGACAATTAATTATTCTCCACTACTCTCGCGACTGACAGCCGTCGCCGACAGGCGGCTGTCAATTTTCACTTTTCATTCACATATTCTCGTATTCGCCAAAGTGGTTCGTCTCGCCCACGTCCTGTCCCGGATTGTCCGATGATACGTAACTCGTGCAAAATGAATGGCTCGTCAAGTGATCAAAGAAACTGAATCGAAGCGACCCTGAAACCTACCTCGTCCGACTACGGCGCTTTCGTGACGAAAGCGGGTTTGAGATTGACAGGGAGGGGAAGAGAAGGATTCGATTATTGTAATAAGAAAGCTTTGTTGGCAGAAGGCTGATATTACCGGCGAAATACCGGCGATTTAGACGCAAAGTTCATTTCGTATTCATCCCCGATAATAATGTCCCGGCGCGTCTTAATGTATGAGTAGCCCCTTATTGGATATCGTTCTCGTTTACTCGGTAAAGAAATCTTCTCTGAATATAATTTTATTCCCATCGCGTATTAAATAAGGAAAACTAAAATAAAATATAATCTCAGTTTTCGTTCATCTTATATCTTTAGAACTTGTTTTTCTACTATACTTCATACTTATATTTAATTTTCAGCTTTAAACGGCTTATTTAATTTAATCAGATTGTCGCTTAATATTAAAAACGTCGTGTTATAAAATATTGCACATCACGAGAAATTTGTTACATCGATTATTTCGCTAAATTATGCTATACCTTGTCAAAAGATCGTTTCGGAAATGCTGATATTAATATTAATAACGAGCAAATCTTTGCGAAACGTGATACCCCATAAGAACTCTCTATGTTTACAAAGAGAATAAAAGTCTCGTTGTAAGGAGGGTATTATGTGTGCTCAGGCTTTTGCGACACATCTCTCCGCAGAGTTTTCAAAACCACGGGGCCCCATTGTCCGACGAGGGATCCCGCTGACAGGCGTTTGTTAAACGCAAGTTTTTCGTCGACGGGCCTCATGTAATTTGTAACTCGTGCGAGGTGAATGCGGCTTAAAGACGGTTCAAAGAAGCTGTGTATGAGTCAGCCGTCCCTGAAAGTGAATCTCCCGCGACGAAGCGGAGACATGCAGCTGGCAGGGTGGAACCAACTGATCGGGAGACCGGTCGAGGAAGAAGAAGAAGAAGAAGAGAAAGACGAGGGAACGAGGCGACGAGGTGGATGGGCGATGAGAACTATCACCGGTTACGCAAGAAAACCGCGGGACAGGATCCAGATCTCGTTAACCCGGGACCGAATTATTTGTTTTTCGCGAATCCCCGTTTTAACAGTCATCGCGCGGATCGAGCTGCGCGATTCGCTACACCACCGAGTGATTTATGTGCAGTAAGGATAGCGAGGATCATCGCGATGATTAATTACGTAATACGTACTTCCGCGACTTCCCCTTCTAGTTACGTTATTACGTATATCGTCTCGACTCGAAATTGAGAATAACGTAAAGAAGAGAGCTGCCACATCTTCTTGAAAACATCGTTTCATTGAATAAAGTTCTGTCAAAGCCAATAATATATTTTCGTAGAAGATTACAAGAGACATCATTTATGAAAATGTCTTTGCCATAAGAAAGAAATAAGAAAGAAGTATTATAAGAGATATTTTTTCCATATTCTTTTCAAATTATGTGCCTTATTTATAAAATTCTATATATCCCAATATTTTTTGTTTTTGATAATTAGTAATTTTTAATCTCTTTTTAGATGTAAAATCTCCACTTGATTCTCAAGATATATAACATCTTCTGTACAACGTAACATCTTTTCTATTCAACAGAGAAATGTAATTGAACAACTCGGAAACGTATGACGTAACTAGATCCTATCAGGCATGGAGTGGGTCTGCTGACAGCTTTAATGTACACGCGAGGAAGCTACTTAACCCTTCCGCTACTAATACGGGAAGCCTTCGTCGTGCATTAAAACTGGCTATATAACCGTGCAAGTGGAATAAACATCCGTGTGTGTATTGTTCTTCCTTTATAATAATGAACGGGATTAGCACGATCGATTCGCAGATGATTCCGGTCGCGGGAAAGGACTTAACAGAAATATGAAAAATGAGAAAAGAGAGCGTCTTTCCTTACCTCCAAGTACCCGACGGGTCCATTGAATGGATAATCGCCGAGGCGGCGTTCCTCGTCTAGGAATTTCCCGGCTTTTCCATTCACCGGCGGACAGAAGAGGCCGTAATTGAAGCTCTCCTTCAGTTCCTGCAAGGCATGAAATTTTAATATTAAGGCAAAGGTGAATCGCGCGAAAAAGGATCAAAGCGACCCGCCACCCCCACTTTTCCGTACGACACATGCAACAATAACGAACTGTATCGGGGATCGTTCCGGAGTAAGCCTCAAGCATGGGATTTTTAAATCGATTCACAAGGAAAAGCCATTCTCTTTCCAATTATCGTCATGCCTGTTCAATAATTGTAGGGACTCAATGCAATTGCATAATACTTATATATGAGGCGCACTCGTAGTGTGTACATATCTCAAAACGTCAATATAATTAACGTAATCTTTACTTCATAAACGAACAGATGAAGACAGTATTAATGAGCTTGAAATTTATTCGGATTTTTGCGAGAATTAATAATGTTAAACTTACCATTCTCTTTAATCCTGTAGTGCATAATTTCTTATTTTCTTAATTATATAAAATATTTATATATAC